TATAGACCGCTTGATTGTGACGTAAGATACGGCCGATGAAGATTTCAAGATTCGCGGTGGTGTTCGGCGCTTCTATTGGCTAAGCGAATCTGCTGCACGGATTGGCTAATAACCTGACTTGCGGTCATATCAGAATGTACACAAAGTATAATGAGCATGCGCGCTAGCTAGCTTGGCGCCTCATCTCGATCGATCTTGTTATTGTTGAACCGAATAAAGTGCAGTACTATTCTATTTCTATTCATCGTTTGTATAATTACTCTTTTGTTGTTAAAATTTATAATTAGTACATTGTGTTCGCTACACAGTTACAATGGTGTTTTGTACGGCATTTGGCTGCAAAAATAAGTCGGATCCTACGAAGAATGTTAGCTTCCATAAGCTACCCTTGAACCAACCTGTTCTATTGAAGAAGTGGTTAGTGAACATGAGACGGGATAACCCCGTTGTATCTAAGCATGTTGCCGTGTGCTCCGATCATTTTAAGCCTAGCTGTTTTAAAAGAGATTTAATAGGGGAACTAACTGGTAAAGCTTCTAGGCGAAGACAGTTGGTTGACGATGCTGTGCCTACATTGTTTTCGTTTAACACAACCATGACTAGATCTTCTTGTAGCAATGAGGAAAGCGTAATGATTCGTAAAAGGAAGAGGAGAGTTTCGTCTGAAAATCGTATTGCTAGAAAGCAACACGAAGAGGTAAGTACACTACTACTACTAGTACTAGCCTATACTGTAGCTACACACTACATAAACCTAGGCCTACACTGTCATTGTTCACATTGTACTTATTATATTTATTATTTGGCCTATATTACTATTTTACATTTAACTATTTTTTAAAGCTCACAGTTTATTCAATACAATATGAAGCCTAACAATTTTTATATACTGTATAGTGTATGGGTAAAGTACATTTACACAAGGGACCTAGACACAAGTATGACACGATACAGATGTGCGCAGGGTTGACGAATACAAACATAGTGATGATAGACCCAGACACGATTACGACACAATGACAATACAGATGTGTGCAGGGCTGATGAATACAAACAATGTGATGATTGTGTCATTGTATTTTATTATGTCTATTGCAAATTTAGCTTTACACAATTTTTTTATTTTTTTTATTTCTTTTGACTTTAGAAATCTCATAAATTTTGTATGTAGAATTATTATGCAGAGATGCATCATTTACTTGTTTTTATTTTTTTACAGCTGTTAACTTCAATGCTAAAAGGAACTGAGAACAAAGATAACACTAACAGTGATGCAGAACCAACATCTTCAATGGTAGATGTTCAACCTTTGCCCGATCCAATGCCTGAATCTGAACTTGAACTGATGTCAGAGTCTAATAATTTTGCTAGCATTGCAGTCCAAACAGATGGTATATTCTGCACCTGTCAGTCTTGTCCTGGCCCAGTGAAAGTTGCAACACCACAGGTTGTGTTGCATGACCATAGATATGGTCAAAACCAGGTTAGCCTACCTAGTCAAATTGAAGAAGTTGATGAAGAGCAACTGGTAC